TCCCTTTTGTCTTGCCTCAGGGAGGCTTGGGATAAGACTGGGCAAATTAAACAAGACAAATTGAAAGATGTTGGGGCTAAATGCAAAACTAGTGACAAACATGGCGATACTTGTATGATTTGTGTTAATGAAGGAAGTTTGCCTTGTTGTGACATGTGATGTCCCGGGTATGTAACCCAACTAATTTCTTATTTAATTTCTCCTAAACATCTTGCTTTCAAAACTTTTGATTCAAATTCGAGACCTTGTGGACCTAGTGAGGTCACTATATTCCGTGTTCTCCCATGTTTTTGTCTTATGATGTTTTTCCAAAGTTTGAACTTTTGAGTTTCGGACGTAGGAGCTGAATTGGGGAGTGTTTTGCCTTAGAATATGGAGTTGTTAAAGAAAATCGCACGTACATGGGTAGACCCGCACGTGCGAGAAGGGGAACGTATGTGCGGAGGTGGGTGCCACATTGTCACGACCCAAACCCGCCCCTATAGGTTTAGCATCGTAACCAGCCAGTAATCTTTGGATTACCGAAGGCCTCTGAACAGATTAACAAAATTAAGGGGCTAGCGGAAGCTAATACATAAATATAGTTGTCCAATGAGCTGTGCTGACTTATATGAAACGGAATATTTAAAAACTTTATATACATAATCAAAAGTCATTCATACATTATACCCACACACATTAAAGTATCTCAAGTACAACCAACAGAACAACCGAGTCTTATATATACAGAAACAACAGAACTTAAACACTTGAGACACTCCAGGAACCTCCACGTGAGGCACAATGGTTGGCTAACAACAGAGCACAGATCCAGATAAAAGCCTTCAGGCTTGATCTCCAGAATGCTCACCTATACATATATATATACACAGTGAGCTAAAGGCTAGTGAACAACATTAAGGTAAAAAGGTTAGTGAATGAATTCCGAACATATCATAGGCGTAAAACAGATCTTAGCATAATCATTCTTGTATCTGAACATAATAATGGTACATCCCATAGAACATATCACATAACGTCTTCCGACTAGAGTAATCGGTTTCGGATACCGATTAAACACATATCACCACAATAAAGTGGCTAACGAGATCTCGTAATCACATGTATGTCATGGACCCGCATTTACATGCCGTCCCCCATGACTTGGGACTATATATGGATGCCATAATAGATTTCAAACATGGAACATTCGTTCACGAAAACAGATATCATTTCAGAAATCATAACTTATCATATTTCATTTGGAACATAATTCAAATGAACGTATCTTTACAATAACGTTACTTACAGTGGTTCTCACAAACGATCAATCAATCTCCAGACGTTGACCTACAGACACAAAAGCACATAATACAAACATATCTTATCATTACACATTCAGGTGGCCATTATGGCTTAGCTTTCATTACAATAGCTCATATTCTTTCTTATCACATTGCTTAAAACACACTCTTATAAACTCTTAACTTAGTACATTCTTTTTCTTAGTGTGTTTCTAATTCATAACCTCATTACCATGGCTTAATTAAGGCTTAGGAATGCCTAAGATACAATGATGATGCCAAAATGTTTTGGAAAACACTTAGTCAAATTTCTGAAAACAAGGTCCCCGCTCGAGCGTAGCTTTCTTCGCTCGAGCAGACATGCAAAATGAGGGTGGTTGCTAGAGCGCAGGTTCCCTTGCTCAAGTGGTCTGTAAAGATATGAAACTTCTGGGAGCTTGCAATTCACGCTCAAGCGGACTTTAGGTCGCTCGAGCGGAAGTACACACACAGAGTGGTCGCTCGAGCGTGAACTCCCACGCTCGAGCGTAGATGCAAATTCTGGAATTTTCAGATTGCACCCCCAAGCTCAAAACTCGAATTTCAAACTTCAAAACACATCTCTTGGGCCCCAAAACTTGAGATAACCTAGCAAACTTGTAAAACATGATGAATTAAGGATTATTTACATAAAATCATGGCCCAAGAGTTTTCCACAAGCTCACAATTTCAACTTAAACTTTAAGAATGTTCATGAACACAACATGCATGGATTTTCTTGATCTTGAGCTTCTCAAAACATGATCAAATACCACAAAACAACTTGAAACTTAATGATTTCCCATAATTAAGATGAATGTCAAACATGCATGAGAAAATTCTTGGAAATCATGCTCAATTTGTAAAGGAATAGACATGCATGCAAAACTTTTTAATCTCTTTGCTCCAAAACTCATGAAACTTGTAAATTGAGCTCATAAGCTCCATGCATGTAAGAAATCCCTTTTCAAAACACGAAATCAAGGTTCAAAACATGATAATTCAAACATGGATGATATGAATCATGTTCAAAATGATGAAATTAAACTAAACTAAGTATGCATGTATGAATTACAACTCAAATCTTCATTTAAAGCTTATTTTATGCAATTAAACTCATGATCTTGATGAAATCTCATGCTAATAACTTAGATGCACAATCTAGAGGTTGCAATCTTACCTAAAGTCTTCAATAGCTAGATATTTGCACAATCTTTGACCAATTCACGCTATAGCCTTCAATTTCTTCTTAATCTCTACCTTTCTCTCTCTAGGATTGCACTCTCACTCTCTCTAAAATGAATTCTTAGATTTTGGCACTCAAGGAATGAGGGGAAAAGAGCTAAATGTGTTGAATATATAGTTATGATGCTAAAATACATTAATTGGAACATTAGGCTAACCAAACACAACCTAATTAATCGTTCTGAATCAATTTTTAATAAAATTTTCCATATGGTTCTAAAAATTCCAAATAACACATTGATGTAATCAATTTCGGTTTCAGATGCCGATAAGGCTTTCAATTTTCATATTAAAGTGGAATTCTAGATAGATATTTCTACAAGTAACAGATAGAAAGCCAAAATCATGCAAAATATAGAATAAACACATAATTTCTTTTAATCATCTCATTAGCATCATTAACTACGGATTAGCAGCTAATTACGGATCGGGGTTGTTACACGCACGTACGGAAAAGGGGGCCAGATTTTGGTTGCATTTTGATATAAAAGCTCATATGGAGGGAAATTTCTACACGTGCGGGGAGGGGCACCATACATGCGGCAATGCGTTACAGCTTTGATTTTTATGCACTTTTCTTCAAACCTTGATCCAAAATTCATTTCCTTTCACTTTTACACATTCCTTTCTCTCTCTCTCTCTCTCTATATATATATATATCTATCTTTTTCCCCTCCATCTCTCTAAGACCCTTATTAACACAAACTTCTCTATAAGTTCCTACAAAATATATGAAGATTTTGGTAGGGGTTCCTTATACCAAATCTAAGAGGGCAATAAGGGCTACATTTTCACCAATCAAATCACATTTCCTTCAATGTTGGATTTTTGTGCCTTCTTCTCATCTTTCTCCTAGAGCTTGAGGTAGGGCGTTTCTTTGAGTTATATATATGTTTTAGCAAATCTATGATTGTTTTGATGAGATATTTGTGTAGTTTGAGTTAGGCTTTGTTTTGGGAAATTTTATTTTGTTCAAAGAGGGCTTTTCTCAAATGTTTTCTTCAATCCTTAAGAAAATGAGTTACCACCCATTGTTTGTGTATTGAAATCATTGGATTGACTATGTTTTCGAACAAACATCTTGCATGAGATTTCCAAATGAGAAAAACTTACATTTTTAAGCATGGCATAACATTTGCACACATCTCATGAGATTGCTTAAAATGTATATACTTTGTTAAGATTTTCTTATTGGGCTTATTGCTCACCCCTAGTGGAACCGCTTGCAGGAAAAGAAATTGTGATCCCACCAAAGTGAAGGCATGGAAGACTTTTGGAGCACGAGGCTCATTTTCTTGTACTTTTTTTTTTTTTGACATGCTAATGGCTATATTTGTAAGGGTTCGATAACCATTCTATGTAATCGGGTATAAGCCTTGGAACTTGTAACCCATGTGGCAATGTTTTGTGTTTAGTTTACTTAATCACTTCCAGCACATGGTATAGATTCACATCTTAGGGAGTGTTGAATGTATAATTGCATGTGGAGTATTTTGTAAATCTCATAGGTATATTATGAAATACAAATATGGAGATTTAGTCATTATGTTGGGAAAGATGTTATTTTCTCTTATTCATATGCGAATGATGGAAACTAAAAGGAATTTAGAATACATTGATTGTTAATACGAGTTTATCAAATGTCAATTATTTGGGGCATTACATGACATGTGTTCTTCGACTTATCATCAAGATTGCATGGATATGGATGTGATGAGGAGATTAATGTTTCAGTACTTGACAATTTCTTCGCTAAATATGAATTTTAATTGAGTTGCTAATGTTGTTAATTCTCTAATTTTGTGTAAACAGGTGGTTCCTCAATGTGCTTGGCCTTGCCCTTATTGCATTTGCAAGTTTTGTGGGAATCCTTGTGGTGCAAATGACTATTTGGTCACTTTTATTATCTAAATATTTTTTTAAAAAAAATGTACAAAATCTTCAAATGATATAAAAGCAATGGGTTTTTTGAACTTTCTATTATTTTTATTCTTGAAAAATGAAAAACAAGAACATTGAAATTGGATTGGTATTGTTTTCAAAAATTGTTTTCTATTCTAAAAAAATTATTTGGCAACATCTTTTTCTTTCACTTTTTTGTCATTTGGTAATCTATAAATATTAATATAATTGTGTCAAACACGACACTCAACTAGTTAACAAAATATAACAACACATGTAAACCCGACAATCAACCAACTACGAAAATTTAACAACACATGCTTGCAAACTGAATAATAAAAGCAGATCCAATAACGCATGTTTGCAAATTAGATGAACAAGCATTTAAGAAAGTTCTAACAATATAATGCAATAAGCATTATATAGAAGGAACAAACAACTAAAAAAAGACTCTGTAACAGACAAGAAATCAATTTGGAAAACTGTTTATAAAAAATTTTAAATAAAAAAAATTAAATTATTTTTTAAATTTTAAAAAATTGTTTTTGTACAAAAATAAATGGGATATGGCTGCTCTGCCAGGCGCGTAGCATAGGAATATTCTCACACTTCCTTTTGGGTGAAAACTCCTCCATGTTCCTCCATTGTAGATCTGCTTCAATTTGTGCGTTCAAATTATAGTTTCAGAGACCCAACAGAGGAAGCCACACTAAAGATTCATTCTTTTCACCAATTTTTGCTGAGGTAAATTGCGTTTTCATTTGGTCATTCTCTGAATTTGAAATTGCAATCATTTATAAAAATCACGCAATCAAAAGTGTCGATTTTGAATTGTAATTTTTATTTTTCTTCTAGTTTTTCCTTCGAAACAAACGGTGGTTTTGAAACTGCAATCAATTATACTTGGTGTATTTCTGTTACATAGATGGTTAACTCGATTGAGTTCAGTACCTTGAAGACAGAATTTTTTGGGGTTTTTTTTTTAATTTAAATGATTGAGTGAAGCTTTTAAAATTTGGGTTTTGATGCAGGAAATTTTGTAAGCTAAAATGGCAGCAAGGAAGCCTGGATTAATTGCTTTGTTTGATGTTGATGGGACTCTTAATACCGCTCCACGAAAGGTACCAATTTTCTTCTCTTGTTCTTCTTTGTTTCGTTTGATCATGTAATTAATGTTGTTCTAGCTAGACAGCATTTGTTTGCCTTTTTGTAATGCAGTGAGTTAATTTATTGTAACCCATAAATTTAAATTAAAGATGATCAAGTTGCCAATTTAGTAAGACCCAATTGTAGATTATCATACATGTTCAGGGGGAAAAAAAAAAGGTTTCTCATCATATGGAACTTGGCTTGCGTATCTGATTGGTTTAGGCTGTCTTGGATCAATATAGAATTTATTTTTTATTCAAAATTCTCTATTTGAATGCCAGGCAGTTACTCCGGATATGTTGAATTTCATGAAGGAACTTCGAAAGGTACTTGATTGATTATTCTGATTAGGTCTGAATGCCAGTGGTGTTCATAAGGGATTTTTTGGGTCATTGCTTCCCTTTCAAGTGGTATAGTGATCCATATGGTGGTTGCTTTCTACAATGGTAACAGCTTTATGGCTTGGTCTTGCTACAGGTTGTTACAGTTGGTATTGTTGGAGGGTCGGACCTTGTTAAGATATCAGAGCAGCTTGGGAAGTCAGGTTTGCTATAATAGCCTCTAAGCTTGTGAAAGATAGCGACAAAAATGAAGCTAGAGAATTTCGAACTTTTTTTGGTGTCTTTGTTTGTGTTTTTGTGCTATTAGATTGTGATATTTGGTCTAGACCTCACATTTTTCAGCTTCATCATGTGCCAAGAAGATGTAACTTATCCTTCATTTTGAAGTTAATAGTTTTAGAAAGTTTTACGTTCTTCATTAGAGATTGCCTGTTGTAGATTGAATGGAAATGTCAATGGATTTCGTTAGGTTTTGGTACTTACTAGAAGTAGGAAGTCATAGCAAAGACTGTACTAGTGATTTGGCTCTGGGGATCTTGATTGCCTACTAAAGTGATTTGTTTTTCAATGATTGTCCTTTGTATCTAGGACTTATTGTCCAAATATTTGTTGCATAAGTTGATGAGTGTGCAAATTATTTGCTAATTGTTCTTTGATATGTATATCAGTTACTTTATTAAAGTGTCACCACAAAGCTGAAAAATTAGTTGATGTTTACAAGCCCATGTGGTGATACCAGTAGGAAACACCACTTGAGCAACTTTTTACTCCATGGAACTTTAGTGGAGTACGCTAGTGTGTTTATTCGCTAATCTTCTTTTTTTGGTATCTCGGAGACCACAGCCTAGGGGAAGGGGGAATGTTGCCTACGGCAAGACTAAAACCCTTGACCTCCTAGTGAGGTGCAAGGATTCTTACCAACTGGTGTTTATTGTCAAATATGTCTTTGAATGTCTTAGATTACGTAAAAGAACTTATTAGATCAATAAGCTTTGTATTTGATTTGGTAGTTTTCAATTAAAAGTATTTTGAAAGATAAACTGTGGTTGACTGCATAGCTTTTTACTCCGCTGTTTCTAAAATCTAATGCTTATTGTTTACATGCTTAATGTACAGTTATAAATGACTATGATTATGTATTTGCGGAAAATGGTCTTGTGGCCCATAAGGACGGGAAGCTCATTGGGACCCAGGTATTGTCTAAATCTATACCAGAATCTTTTACCTCAGGTCCAAGATTCAAATGCTACTTCATAAAAATTTGTTGAAAATGATTCACACTGTCCTTATTTATGAGCAACCAAGGTCTTGGATGTTTCAGAATTAATTGTAGGACTTGGATAGGAGGCTTGAAATTTGGCTTTCCAATTTGGCCTCTTAAATGCCTAGGAAGCTATAACCCTTGAACGATGCCTTGATACAACAAATTCTTTAGGGAGTACCAAAAGAGGAATAAAAAACTAAAATAATACATTTGAGAACTTTAGATTAAAGTACAGAAACTACAAATCTGGTAAAATAGTGTTTTAATGTCAGAAGATAAAGTCTAGATTGAAACAGAGAATGTTGTATTCTCAATTTGCATATTTTGAAAGATTTAATATACAACTAGAGGTTAGCCAATGCAGTGGTTTCAGATAAAGGGGAAATATAGCACCATAAAAAGTATTTGATAACATTCAAATATGTTTTCCTCATATTTTAACTTTTTTCAATATCTAATAAATTAAATCTGCCGATTCATCCCCTCGATAGTTTAAAATTTTTGATCACTGGACCATAGTCTGAATATTTTTTTACAGAAGCTTATAGCTGCTTCCGGGCATGTTTACTGATCATTTTTTACTTGATGGGTTTTCTCTGCAGAGCTTGAAAACATATCTTGGAGAAGAAAAACTCAAAGTAAGATTGTTCTCCTGGTCTTTGCAAATATTCTTGATATATATATATATATCTATACTATTATATATGTGAGCACATGACTTGGTGTCTAATAGTGTGATAGCTTCTCCTTCTGCCATGCAGCAAATTTTTCTATCCTAAAATAAAAAAATATTATTCAAAGGCATGAGCAAGATTTGAACCCAAGACCTTGGGTTTCATTAAAAACACTCTTACCATTTACACAACATACATATTATGGCATTAATTTCTTTATTATTTGTTTTTATGCTTATTTATCTGAATTGCACATGCACTGCATGTACCACCCACTAGTGTATATATATGTGCATAATTGGTCCTTAAATAGGATATGTAAACATATGGTCTTTAAATAGGAAATTTAATATATACATATATACATATATTGGGCAGAAGAAATTACTAAGCTAAGTACATGATTCTTAAAATTATCAATCTACATGAAACCAATGAGCCATGAAATTAGGAAACTGAGGATTATCTAATGACATCATTTTATTACACTATTAAGGGTAGACTTAGAAACAATAAAATCTGCCCCCATCTCTAGCCTTCAGTAAGATTAGTGATATTTGTCTCCAACTTGTTTATTGTATAGTTGAAAAATAGCGGGAGAGCAAGATTATTTCTTCAGGTTAATTTAGGTATGGAATGTTTTTTAGATTGCAGCCTTGCAGCCATTGGATGGTAGTGATGGGGATCAAGGAGGAGAAGAGGCCTTCACACATATTTCAGGCAACGGAGGCGTCAACCGTAAACTAATTTTGAATTATTAGGAATTTTAGTTTCAATAGGATTTTCTTTATATTTCGTTATATTTTCTATGTTTTGTTTACTTATTGGACAGCGACTAGGTGTATATATGCAAGGCATGGTTTATTTAAATAATACTTTTTTTAGGGTACAATTGTTAATTAAAAGTTTTTAGGCTTAGTCTTTTCTTGTCATGCCCTAGAAATGTATGACTCACTATCCATTTCCACACCCCAATTATACACAGTACTCAAACAACAAGCAAAAGCTTAATTAAATGCCAACACATTATATTCATAATATCCATGTTGAGATTACAAGATCATTTCACATGCATTGATCCATTCAATGATTCTAAAACCTAAATCTATACCATGTGAGTAATAAAGATTTATATCTAAACTATGATAGTTTCATGCCTTAGTGGCTACAAGTTTCCAAGATTGTACTTGGTTACAACAAAAGTGGGTCTTAAGCCCAATACACCAAAGCCCTAGGCTCACACAAAATAAAATACAGAACGAGTGTTCAACTCCAACTTCCTTCCAAGCTATCCTCTTAGCGGAGGCATACCATCAGTATAAATGTTTTTGCACATAGGGTGAGTCAAAGCCCAGTAGAGACAAGTTTAATGACATGTATGGTGTTTAACAAAGCCATACGGTGAATGCATATGAAATGCCGTTACAAAACATGCGTTTTTCCCATTTTGAAACAATGCTATGCGAAAGTTCAAATTACAATTCATATCTTTGCTTTAAAACTAAAAACAACACAGTAAATATACACACTGGTAATCTCTAGGTACATGTCTGCTAGTAGGCTATAAAAGCACTACCAAAGCTACTTTACCGGCAACTAACCGGAAGAAAAGCATCCTAACCACGCAGATTTCTAGATTTTCACCAAGGACACAAAGGCCAACTTAATTAACCACAACCACAACCCCTAACTAGATTCACCACTATATTCACCATTTTTTTACAAAATAATACTTTTCAAATGCATAGGCATGAAACCGCTGAATAAATGAAATGCATGAGTGAATTGGTTTCAGTTAACCTAGCTCCCATGCAATTTCTACAACAAGTCAATACTATCCTCTATCGATGGCCAAAACAGTTATCTCTATTCAATATATTTCAAAAATGGATGATATATATAAATCAAGAGCATAACTAGCAATTTCATCAACATTTTCATTGTAACATTGTCTTGCCTCACATTTCTCAAACCTCATTAATCTCTATACAATTCAAAAATCATGAGTTTACAATAAATCCAACTACATAATCCACTTTACAAACTTGAGCCCAACTTGAGGGTTTTGGAAAAATATTGGGGTTTCTCCTTTTGAAGACCTCTTCCCTCAAATTTCCAACATTACTTATAAACATCAACAACCCAATAAGATTTTAAGAAAACTTCCAAGAAAAACCCTTCTTTATATATTAATTATACATTAATCAAACCCAAAATATACCCAAGTGTTAAGCTATCCAAATAACACATAACAAGGCTAAACCAGATACAAATCATTAAAGAAAGCCCTACCTCAAAGCAAGAGGAAGAGAAGAACAACCCCCGAAAATCAACGGAGATGGAAACTCGAATTTTTCAAATTAAAACGAGCCCCTCTTCAAGCTGAACCTTTAATCCCAAAGCACAAAGATCGAAAAATCCACGGATCAAGGTAGATCGGAGAATTTATGCAAGGTTTTTAGAGAGAGGTGAGAGCAAAAGAGAAAAAGATATTTTGTAGAGAGAGAGAGAGAGAGAGAGAGAGAGAGAGATCAAAAAGTGAATAAAAAGTGACTGTCCTTGTAGCTTTATTCAAACAGACCTCTTAAGCGGTAAAACCTACGCTCGAGCGTCAGACACAACACATCGCTCAAGCAATTAAACCTAGGCTCGAGCAGAGAAACCAAACTCGCAAAAGTTTGTCCTTACAGAACAAAACGCTGGAGTGACGAAACCTACGCTCGAGCAAATAAAGCAAACTCTCAGAAGTTCAAACTACAAACCCAAAACTGAGAGAAAGAGAAGACCACTTAAGCGACCAAATCACCGCTCGAGCGAACCCAAGTTCAATCAATCAAAATCACCCTAGAATTTCCAACTTCAACTTGTTTCAAACATAACTGCAAATCCCAATTCTCAACTCAAAAGACAACATAGGACAAGAACAATTCAGAAGAACAAGAATAGGTGTCAACAAAGATTACTTAAAGTTCCAAAGGCATTAATAGTCCTAAAACAGAATAAAAATCCAAATTACATCCCCATATAAGTCTCACAAGTAACCAGGACATTACATTTCCTCTCTGTAGATCTTTCCCCACTCTTTGTTTATTTTTCCCTTCTCTCTCCTCTTTCACGCCAAGTAGGCTTGAACTCTACATGTACAAAACATTTAGAATTACATAACTGTATACATATACTTGATAGGTAGAAGTACATTATTAGTATATTGATATGATATTTTGCCAATGTATGCAGGAATTTATAAATTTTACACTACATTATATTGCCGACTTGGATATTCCAATAAAAAGGTTAGTGGAGTGGATGTGTGAGTTGTAGTTTTCCGTTTATGTTAAAGCTTTTGGGACCCTTTCTTATTCAATTTCTTCTCTAGAGGAACATTTATAGAATTTCGAAGTGGAATGCTCAATGTATCACCTATTGGACGAAATTGCAGCCAGGAAGAACGTGATGAGTTTGAAAAATATGACAAGGTACAACATTTCGATTCTTGCTACGTTTGCAATTTGGGTGTTTATAATGAACACTTGTGATGTTGGAACTCCGGCAAAGTTACTCTATTGAAATTATGTTCAGGTTCAGAATATTCGCCCAAAGATGGTGTCTGTGCTCCATGAGAAATTTGCACACCTTAACCTCACCTTTTCCATAGGGGGACAAATAAGTTTTGATGTGAGTGAATGTTATTCATTATTTATGCTTTCATGACTCTTATGCTGTATTTGGATCAAAGATTTGAGTGAGGATTTGTGGAGGGAAAGGAAATAGGGGAAAAAAAAAAGTTTATATTTCATTCCCTTCCCAAATCCCTCCCCAAATCCATAATCCAAACACAACTTTAAACTTGCTAAAGTAAATGGCAAGTCATTGCAGCCGAATTTGTATTTGGGCATAATGCTTGTATGTTGCAACAGGTATTCCCTCAAGGGTGGGACAAGACTTATTGCTTGAGATACCTCGATGATTTTAGCGAAATCCACTTCTTTGGGGACAAAACTTACAAGGTAGCCCATTTATCTTCTCCATTCATTTTGGTGGTTCTCTTCCCTCCCTTGCTTGATATTTTCCATGTGCCATGAGCTTGTTTGGAAGGTTTGATTCCCTGTGGTGATGTGTTGTATTAGATCATTTATTTTGGGGGGGGCAAAATTCACTTCAACACCCCATGGTTAATTCTACTTGTGGTTTACCCCTCTTGATATTTAGAAATAAGCATATAACCTTCCTATGATTTGGTGCACCATCAAAATTAATAGCTTATGTGAAAACATGTGCTTGGAATGCGACTGGTTCTGTTAAAACACATTTCATGCCCAAAAAGATGGCAAAAATGCCCTTAGTTTGCTCAATGTTAAGGCTACTTCAGAGGTATTTTGATCCTTTCACTGAAGTGTATAGACGGTGCACTTTAATCTTCGAACCATAGAGGGTTATATGCTTATTTTAAACATCTGAGCGTAAACAACACATGGAGTAAACCATATGGGGTAAAGTAAATTTTGCCCTTTTTTCATTTACTTTTTTTAGTACTCTTTTAGGACTAAATGAAGGGCTTGGGTGTTTGTTTGAGCAGGGAGGAAATGACTTTGAGATATATGACTCAGCGAGAACAGTGGGTCATACAGGTCAGCCTTATATTTCAGCTTCTTATTGCATTATTAAATACCATGGATTTTTCTATTTCCATGGCATCTAGAGAACCAAATGCATCATTAGTATAGTGTCATTGCAAGAAAGCTCCAATCAGACTTGGATGATTGCAAAACAGAGTGGATCCATTTTCGAAAATAAATATAATTGGTGATATTCTCACACAATGCTGTAAATGATTTTTTACATAAAACAGAGTACTTGTTTTAAATGCTATGGAAAACAAAATGGATAAAATGTTGCAACTTCAAAAGAAACAATTTCATTTGGATAACGCTGTAAAACAACATATATATACACATAATCCTCGTTTTAAATGATGCAATTGGGAGTTTCTAAACCCACCACACACCCGCCATGTTCATCTCTACACTATCCACAAATTTTTCTTCGTAACATACAAGATATACAATGCATATAGTGAGTGTAGAGAGAAAATAAGCTAGTGTATTTAGAAGCTCCGATGAATTCTTTTCATATTTATTCACTGAAACACGATTGTAATTGCAAAATTATCACTGCCACATTGATTCTGTATGAGTTTTTTGTATCGTTTTCCATTTTATTTCCATTGATCATTCAAGATGATCTTTAAAGTGAACATCAGTGCCAGCATTACACCTTATGTGCTATTTTACTTTCATAATCACATTAAACTGAACCCTTTGTTCTGTTCTGTTCTCAGTTACCAGCCCAGAGGATACAATGAAGCAGTTTTACTTTCATAATCACATTAAACTGAACTTTCTGTTTGTTGTGTTCTCAGTTACCAGCCCTGAAGATACAGTGAAGCAGTGCACAAAACTCTTTCTAACCAAGCAAGTTTAATGTCCCTGAAATTTATTTCAACTACGAGACGTTCTATTGTATTTACATTTGTAATTTTTAGATATAGAAAATAAAAAGGGTTGCAGAAACATCTGTTTGTTTCTGTAATTCCCTTCATAGGATTCATTTGTGCATTCAAGCGATGACCATTATTATCATATTGTCATTTTTATTTGAAGTTTCAATTTTTTTTAATGAGACCTCAAAGATTGATAAACAATGGCAATACATTACTTTTGAGATGTGTTAAGAATCTATTTATTTGTATTCGGCATATGAGAGCTCAATATCATCTGATATGTCTTCTATTCATACTGTTTTTTTCTGTTTTATCTCAATGATACCTAGTAAAAACAGTTTTCTGCTGCCAGTGAAACAAGATTAGGGAACTATTGTTTGGTTTCAATTTTTTGAATTCAATTTTCTGAAAATTGAGTTTTTTGTTTTTTGTGATTTTTTAAATATTTTAAGTAAATTTTTTTACTTTTTAGATACACGTAATATAAATACAATTAAAAAGTATAATATTTGTGAATTTTTTTTTAAAAAAAATTTACTATATATCAAAAATACAATAAATAAAAAAACAAAACAAAACAAAAATTTAATATATTTTTGTATTATTATGTATTTATTGATTTTTTTACAAATATTTTACTTAAGGTACATATAGGTTAGGTATATCTAAAACAAAAATTAAAATAAAAAAAAAAACTTAATTTTCAGAAAATTGAATTCAGAAAATTGGAACCAAACAAGGTTAGGTTAAGTAATGAAACATCTGTTCAGTAAAACCAAATTATGACATGCTTTTTATTAACCACATATATGTAAAAGAAAAAATTGGTGAAAAGTCTATCTCAAAGGAGGATAAGGCATTAGATCCAAGGTAAACTCTTATTTGGTGATAAGGACATGCCAGAAAAGGTCGTCAGAAAGTCGCCATAAAAGTCGTCGTCGATAGCAGGTGGTGGTGGTGGTGAGACAGAGAAATATGTGATATTCAACAAATAGGTTGTTGAATGAGTGACATGTGCTACATTTCAACAGATAGTTTGGTGAATTTCAACAGATAGACAAATAGGTTAATTTCAATAGATAGATTGATTTTAACAAATAGTTGTCCTTTTGGACAAATTATGTCTTTTTGGCCTAAAGAAATTAGAGTTTGGGCTTAATAGCCCAAAAGATTCAGAAATTGACTTACGGCCTTGATTTTAGTGCGGCCTCAATTGTAATTCCAAAATTTTTTTGGTTTTAAAGTAGAAATTGTAATCTATAAGAACAATATGTATTTTTTTTGGAGAACTTACTAATAAATCCCATATATAAAGTTCAAAACCCATCTAATCCCAAAACAAAACACTTCCACCAATTAGTCCAATAAATTTTTTATTATTACCAAAAAAATCCTTTTTTTTTTTCTTGATTTACCAATGCTGTTACATCTCATTACCATCGAACTTCCATCAGACGGTCACCAGAGACTCGCTGAAATGTTCAACATCATCGAGAAGTCGCTGGAGTACTGTCGAGAAGTAGCCAGAGTATTGCCGGAAGTTCACCGGAGTCTTCTGAATGTCAATAGAATTCACCGAAATGTCCATAACGTTCGTTGGACATTAAGAACATCGTTGGAAATTTATTGGAATGTTCAGAATATTGCCCCAAAAAAAAGAGAATAAATGGAGAAATTAGAGCAAAAAAATATACCAAAATGTGTTAAATATTGATAAACTAAAGGAAAAATGTAACGACAAAAAACGGTAACAATGGAAAAAAACATGTTATTTTTTAATTTTTGTAAAGTTTAAGCAAATAATCTTCAATATTGATCAAACTGAAAAGTAAGCTTTGAAACTGTAAAATGTTATAGTTTCAAAGCAAAAAATCTATTAAGCATTTATCCTTATTAATCAAACTGAAAAACATGATTTGAAATTGCAAAATTTTACAATTCTAAAGAATGTCATTGTAGACACTCCATTTTTGACCGACCTTAAGACTCAGACGTCGTCGTTTGTGCACTCAATGATTGCGCATGCTTGTACTCGTTTTGAGTGCCCGAGTTCTCGGTTGAGCGCCTTGTCTCTGGGCCTCTAAACCCTCTTTGTTTTGGCCTTGTTTTTTGGCCAAAACTTGGTGCCTCTTACCTAGAGGGGAGAAGGGCCTTGCCGGCCACTTTTGGCTATTGTCGGCCACTTTTCCTCCTTACCGGCAACTTGAAGTGGTCTGTCGGCTAGGAGAGGTGGCCGACGGCCAATTTTCTCCTTTTTAGATATTTTGTGTGGCAGCTGTGCCAAATGTTGATCACTGAATGCATCCTCCATACATGTATGGAGGGATGAAAGCAAGCTTTTTGCTTGTTTTTCTATATAAGTGGAGGTCCCTCCCCATTTTGAGGGTTCAGAAAATTTGTGAGCAAATTTCACTCTCTCTCTAGAACTCTGTCTCTCTCTTCTTATTTAGTGCTTGAAAGTGAGTTTTCTTTACATTTTTGCATACAACCCTTTAGCCAACTTAGGCTACCTTGTAGCTGAGGTTCTTGGAAGTCTTATTTGAGCTTTTAAAAGTTGGTATTGGCTCAGAAAGTGGCCATTTGTTGTTGTACTTCAAGGGTAAGAACTTAACTTTTTTAAGCTTTGTTTTAATTCATTGTTTGGCCACCTTTGTGTGCTACTTTGAAGCTGGTTTTAACCTCTAAAAAACTCTGTTTTTAAGATTTTAGAATGGTGGTTTAAGCCTTGTTTGATTAGGGAGTGGTTTCCTCCCTTTACTCTTTGGCTTGTAAAGCCTTTTGAGCCATCTTTCAAAGCTTTTGAAACACCCTTTTCTTGGCCTTTTAACCACTAAATTCTAGGAGAATTTCAGTGGCAAAAAGTTGGTTTTGAGGTCCAAAATAGGAGGGGGTGGCCTCCCCTCATTGTGTCTTGTTTGCACATGTAGATGGCCTAATATTTGAGCATGTTTTTCTACCTTTTTGTGGCTTATTTCAAGCATGTTTTTGGCTTTGTTTTGACACGCTTCAACTCTGTTTTTGGTTGGTTGGAACACTTCTTCCTTGCTTTTTGTACTTGTAGTGCAATCATGCCTACTAGCCTAGCATACTTGATGATTTAGCCTATCATTCTAGCTTGTGTTAGCATGATCTCGGCATGTTTTTGCTACTGATTTAGCATGCTTTAACTCCTTTTTGAGTGGTCTTGGTCATATAAGCATTGTTTTGTATGGTTGTAGTGCAAATGGTCTTCACTAGCTTTGTGTTTCAAAGCCTCAAACATGCTTTGCTTGAGAGGATTGCATGATATAGCATCATTTAGCATGTAATTTTAGTGCATATACTTCTGTCACACTCTCACATACTTCACTCTTTCATTACTTTTGAGAGTTATGCTTTGTGTCTTGCTTGCGAGCCAACATGTACGCATGATTTTATAGCTTTTTGTGCTTCAATTCCAGCATGATTTTGTTACTAATTCGGCATGTTTAAGCTCTATCCAGAGCTGGTTTGGTCATTTAAGCTTAGTATTGCATGCCTCTTGTGTGATGCTCTTCACTAGCTTTGATGTTTTTGGCTCTTAACATGTTATGCATGTGTTGCTTGCATGATTTAAGGTCTTTTGCATGCCATTTCAACACTGAAATTCTACAACCTCCCTCATTTTTTCATTTTTCCATTTGTTTTGAGGGTTGGTTACCTTATGCTTGTGTTTAAGCTTGAGATAGAGCTTATGCTCAATGGCTTTAACTCTCTTTTGAGGGTTCCTCCTAGCCAAAGGCATGAACTCTCTCATGTATTAAACCATCCTTTGGTTGACCCATCTCTCATTAGAGGACTTTCACATTGGACAAATTGGTTAAAGAATGGCTTGGTAATGCTAAAATGAGTAAATAAAATTGAATCAAGTGAAACATGACTAAGATAAGCATGTTGTTTGCATTGCATGTGTTTGGGTCGGACGTTAATCCAAACACAAGAAATGTGGGACGTTTCATACTTAAAGTGATGAAACGTGTCATGTTTCTTGGTCGCTGCCACCCTTGATCATGCATGATAGGGTGGTGGCTATTTGAGTCTTATGTACGCATTCACTAAACTTGTACACGCTTGATTCTTTGGGCATCATGCATGAAAATGCTTGATTGGTGGCTTGAGAGCCAAGTGCCACACTCCTTTGAGCTTGAGAAATGATGAAGAGAGTGGCAGTACACACATTTCCTTGCAAATACATTGTTTTGCCTCTGTTGTTCTCTGTTGCAGCAAAACTAGAAGCCTGGAAAAACAGGTGGCTGACCAGCCACTTATACTAGCCGACTGGCTAGTTAAGGTGGCCGGCAACCACTTTGTGGCCGACCGGCCACCAGTCCATTTTTGTGCAAAGTGTTCCTATTTTGAAGCAAAAGCAGTCTGGAATGTTGGTTCAATCTTCAAAGATTAAGGCAAGTGCAAACAGAGGCAACCAATGGCAAAGTGACGGATTTTCGGGAGAAACCAACCAAGCATGCATGTCTCCCTCGCCCACGAGGCCGTTTTATTACTTTAATTAGCTTAGTGTAGCTGATTATTCAACTTGTGTTGTAAAGTTTTAATTAGCTTAGCATAGCTATTTATTTCAATTTGGGTTGTAATAATTAATTAGCTTAGAATAGTTAATTAGTTGTTTTGTAATAATTAGCTTAGCTTAGATTAGCTTAGCTTATTTATTCAGACACTCCTTCGCGAGGGCGCAATGTTGTAATAAGCGTACATGTGTGTGTGCATGTCTTCCAACCCCACGTCTTTCTCCCTTTTACTTAACCACTTTCGATGGTTAGTTTAGGGCACGTTTTGATTAGCATACCTTATGCTTTGCATGTTTGCATCATTCATTTGTCTTGTATGCACCGAGGCTCGGCGCATCATTCAAACTGCATCGTATTTCAATATTTCTTTGAATACGTATATCAATTGTTGCATACATATGCCATCTTAGATAGCCGAGCCTATTTAGTTGCATTATTGTATGTGTTGCATTAGGCATCTTGTATAGTTAGGATAATGCATATTTCTAACTAGCTTTTGTTTTGGCTCAGAGTACACTGTAAGCTTTTATGCTTTAACATACTTGCATGAGTGTGAGTGTTTCCATGATAGCATGCTTGCCATGAGGCTATTTGCTTATGTGATTAACTGTATGAATGCCTGTGGATGAAGGCTTTGTTGCTTGAATGGGAACAATTCGACGATTGTGAGTTTGAAGCCCACTTTGCAAAGTGGCAAAATCATGTTTTGAA